CTGCGGACGAAGGTTTGGTGGATGAATGGAATAATTTGTCTTAGGATTGCATACATCTTGGTAATGGTAAGATATCTAGCTAGGCGGATTTAGAGACGCACTGAGATATTGTGACGAATTGGCGGTGAAAGGAAAGGCGTCTTTGAACGGCGTTCGTCATATTTTTCTGGATGAAAAGAGTTTGATTGAGTTGAGAATTTTCCGAAGAGAGCGAGAGTGATTGGCGTGTGTTGGTATGCTATTTGGATACTTTTGTCGTGTCTGAAGTATTTTCGTTTTCTTGGTTTTGATTGTGTTTTGGGATGAACTGGTATGAGAAGGATGACAATGATATTTTCCCGGAGCATGACGATGCATACGAGCAGGGGGGCTATTCGATATACTCGTAGCATAGCATGCGGGTGGTATATTGCGTATGCATATGCGGGTATTGCAGTGACGAACTACGGAGGAACAAGAAGTTTCTCTATGTTTTCCTTGGGAGTGTGGTAGATTGGTGGAGATTCATGAGGATTCGTTTTGGGTGTTTGAGCGTTATGCGTGACTTGATGCCGTGATGGAATGACGAGCTCAAGCACGCCCCCGATGAATACAACACGGATACAACACGTTTCCCAACACGTATACAACACACGTTTTACAACACGTCTGTACGACTTTACCTACCCCTACGGCCCGTCATGGCCGAGCTACTCTACACTCCCATCACACACAACTGAGCCACCCGAATTATCGATCAACTTCGACGTCGGCACCGTTGACGAGGGAAAGAGACGGCTGGACCCTTCTCGCGATAAAAACAAAATTCAGCACTCTTCGCAGGAGGAAGGTAGGGCATGAAAAGAAATATAAAGAAGAAAATAGCCCTGGTGTTTAACCCCTCCTGTACGACCCTGGATGGTTTAAGTTGTACGAAAAAATACACTGAAAAGTGTAGTACTCTACCTTCGCTGAAAAGTGTAGTACACGTCTCACCACGAAAAATAGGGGGATTGTCGCCATAATGAATAGGGAGAAAACACACACACACTTTATGTAGCAGGCCTAGTAACGACAACCAGAGGACAGGCGATACATAATCGCACCAGGACAAAGTATAGCCGTCGGCCCCGATCTACTGATCCTCTCCACTGACCTTCAGATCTTCTGGACACACCGGTCACAGTTCTTCCGGCTCGAGGAGAGGCGTTTGGACAAGGGCGCCCGAACCCCTTGAATATTGATAGGGTCAGTCACCATGTCCTACCATGAAGAATTGATCCTGCCGAGTGTGGTGAGGAACAGTCTCTACGACCCAATTGGCAAAGCGAAAATCGGAAGATGAACATCGATTGATTCATATGACCACGGTGTCGCCTCGTTGAACGTTCAGATTGATTGGAGTCGTGCGTCGAATGGGACACGACAGGTCATGTTAAAGATCCCGACTATTCGCAGCATGAAACACTATTATTGGCACTAAACCATACTAGGCGACGATATACTGTCGGGAGTCTCGCTGCGAATTGGTCTGACAGCAAGCGTGTCGCCTCCGGTTCATAGTCTAACGAGGACAAGTCGTTTCATTCCGAAAGGCGTCTACGTCTGTCCGTCCGTCCGTTGGTTGAACGACAACAATGCGCACACGTCACCCGGTGGAAAAGCTATAGTCGCTGTGTCCGGGGGGAATCGTTGTTTACGCACTGTAGCATCAAGACATTCGCATGCTTTCACGTCCATTCGCGCGTTCACATGGGTTTTCGTTTTGACGCAGACCTCGAACAGGAACAGAGAACCGCCGCCAAACCCTGTCTGCGTCTATCCACCAGTGATTCGCTAAATATCGAAGAGCAACTACCCCACATCCGCCACGACCACCAAAAGGTAGCCATGGTGAGAATGGTACCATGTAGACGGTGCGCGTTGACATGAGCTCTTTTTGATTTGTTGCACGTCGTAGTGTTGCAACGGCAGGCACGAGTCGAGCGAGTTGGCGGCGACAATGCAGCTCACTCACAGCCGTCGCCAATATCCGGGGAATAATAGACACACGCGAGAACATTGTTGTTTTTGTCTCACACCATCCTGTCGAAGCCGTTCGAAGTTGAACATCACCAAAGCTATCTCTTGTCCAGATTATTCTTTGAATAGTTGTTCCGTGGTGGCTTGACCCTGAGTCGGTGGTGGTGTTGAGGGTAGTGAGGTGTGGTGGGAGGTGAGAAGTGAACGAGCGTAATGGACGTTTCAGAATTGACAAGTAGATGGGTTGGAATGACAAGTGACTCCTTTTCGACGTTGTCGTTGAGCCAAATTCACGAGCCCAGCAGTTGCATGCAGCGCAAATGGGCACACCTAATCGTTGACAGCTTCAAGAAATTGTAGAAATTCGGCCCGATTGTACACCTTTCGTGTTGATTGCGGGACCCGCAATCAAAGGGTGTTGCCCTACACAGTGGGCCATATGATACCGTGATCTCATTGTTGTTGTACTTCCTCTGTATCATAAGTTAGGGTATTTAAATGCAATAGATTGTCTGGGTGCAACCGTGTTAGTGATGGTAGCATAGTCGGGTTTGTAAGAAAGATATAACAAAGAAGAAGCGATGGAAAAAATTAAATAAAAACGAACATCTATTTCTGTATCTACTATTGGTCAAAATGTACCCTATTTTGGCCTGTTTTGGGAATATTTTTGAGAAAATATTTTGGGATATTTTTTGAGAATTCTCGACAAAATTCTCAAATCCATTTTACTACCCTACTCTAGCGATGGAATCGCCCCCCAGCACACCACCTCGCAAAAGGGGCACCGAATTATCGGTTGGTAGGCGCTATGCCATGGCGGTAGAAATTGCGATGGGCATTCAGCCGGGGTTGTCAAGGATTCCCAAGGGCGTGCTTGACCCGATCTGCGAACGCTACGGTGTTGGAAAGAAGTACCCGTCCAAGTTGTGGAAACGGGTCAAAACCCAGATCGACAACACCCAGGAGCTGGACCTTTCAAACGAAGCAAAGTGGGCGGCCGTCGCTTCTCACCCCTTCAAAGATTGCGGCGGCATCGAGTCCAAGTGATGATGAGGAAGAATAGTCGACTTTTTCTTTTTTTTCCCCGCCACCAACCAACCCTTCTTTTTGTCCCGCAAGTGTCTTGATTTTAGTGTGACCCCCCAAGTGTCTTGGTTTTAGTGTGTGACCCCCAAGTGTCTTGGTTTTAGTGTGGTTCACTACTATACTGATTTTAGTATAGGGGGCGCGACATGGATCGTTGAGTAGAGGGGGGGGTTGGATGAGGGCCCTACTGTTGCTTGCTTTGCCCCGTAAGTGTCTTGGTTTTAGTGTGGTCCCCCCAAGTGTCTTGTTTTCAGTGTGGGGGCCACTATTATGCTGTTTTTAGTATGGGGGACGCGTCATGGATCGTTGAGTAGAGGGGGGGCTAGGTTTAGGGTCAGGGATAATTCTTGGTATTTTTGCCTTCCTTGTTTTTGTCATTGCCCCGCCCCCCCGCCTGGTCGGAGGGGGCAGAATACATGCAAAATGCGGCCTTTTTCAGGCCGACTGGTTTTTCTCGGGCGCTCATGCACGCGGGGTGGCGCATGCATATAAAAAAAAAAAAAATGATTCTTGCTAAAAAAACTCCGAAGATTTCAACAAAAAAATCGAAAAACAGATCGGACACGGTTAAGGGCCCGTACAAATTTAGGTACCCTAACTTATGATACAGAGGAAGTAATTGTTTATTTGTTGGGAAAGTTTTCGAAGCAAGTTCGAAGGCCGAAACACTTGTTTGTCAAAATCGAAAGAAATGGAAGCGACCGTTCCAAGATGCTTTCGCCCTACTCGTTCCAGATTGTTCGGTTACTGTACTTCGGATGACATTGTGTAGACTAATACCAGCAAAAGGCGGGAGAAGCAACCCTCCTGGAGACGAATGTACTCAACAACAGGAGGTTTGATGGTCTACATATGGAAACATATTATTTATTCTCCTCGTGCATCTTGAGATTTTGATAGATATGTCTATGTTTCCTAATAGATATATTCTGCACTCCACATCCTTGACCACGACTTAATGAATCCACCCCGGACATTCCATGTAAGTCGCAACACCTCTGGTTGACTTCTTCAGCTCCCACCCTCTTTTTTCAGTGGAGCAGAAAGATTCCTGCGCGACAAAAACTGCTCGTCTGCCTCAATTAATTTTGCCAACGCCTCGGTGCCCATTTTCGCCAAACACTGCCGCAGTCCCACGCCACCTCGACTACTGTACCTTGCACGTGTTGCCGCAGGTACCTGCTCGTCTTTCTTCAATTTTCACATGATTAAGGCTTTACCTATTATATATTATGTATCATTGAACTCTTCTACCTCACGGCATCAACCCCGAGAGACTCGTTCGCTCTCGCATAAATATTTGCACGCATCTCTGTCAATTGTGTCTCGCCGCACATACACGTCGGCTACTAACGTGCACATGACACAGGCTTCGCCAAAACAACATTACTCTTCTACGCCATTGCATCACCCTGGGACTTGTTCACCCTCTCGCATGCGTTTGTACCTACATATCTCTTATCCCTTGCGTGTCACGCCATACTTCTCTTTCACTAGTGTTTTCAAGGGTACACTCAAATCCTTTCTCCCGCTGGAATATACTATGAAACCGCGGAACAGCCTACTTTATTCGTTGGGCGGATTTCAGTTGCCTTGGCCAGTTCAGACTGCTCTTTCGCATTCCGCCTTCAAGTTAACACCAGTCGGACAACAACTGTTTTGAGGTATTCCCTGAACTTGTTAGCCAAAATTTTGCACAGCGTGTTGTCGGTGCGCGCTATTTCTCCCCCATAGTGGTCACAATGAAACCTACAACAATCATCGCAGCACCGACCAGGTTGTTCCAGCCCGTCAGCGGCTCACACGATGCAGCCGCGTTATTGCTGTCAGGTTCGACAGTGGGCGTTCCGGTTCCGCTGGTATTTGCTTCTCGAACGCACGACCAAGGTGAACACTGCAGACCGGCCGCTTCCGAGATACACGAAAAGTAGGCTTGGGCCCGATCGTTGGTTGAGCAGTCGCTGGTAGATTGCTCGTCGAGGCAGCAGAAGTGCTGCCCGAAGGCAGCGCACCCATCATCCGAGTTGATGGATGCTGTGCACGAGTTCCAGCCCTCTTGATCCGTGACGGTGTGGCACTCCATGCATTCGGGGTCTTCTTGGCATGCTTCCGCAAAAGGCAGGCAACCCTCGGCGGGGTTCCAGGGGGCTAAGAGTGCAAACCACAACAACAGAGAGACCAACCAAGCCTTAAGTTATTTCCCTAATGTACGAGGGTTAGCGGGAATCGGTGGTTCTGATGTTGAAACGGAAACAACGGAAATCTCTCTAATTGTACTCGTACCCCCGGTCACCACACGAGCGCGCTGATGACGGGGTGCATTCAACTGTAAACTCGAGACCGGTACTCGCACCCCCACCGACTACTTCTACCAACATGCCGGGTCTGCGGTGCGGCCGACCTTGACACCAGCTACACACGGCTCAGACATGTTTACCTGGTGTTGGCTGGGGTGTGGGTGCCGAGGTAGGTTGTGGCGTTGTCGCTGTGAGGAGATGTCAACGGGGCAAGGAGGGCGCATAAACATTTTTTTTACGGTAGATTTCACGAGGAAGTTTAATTTCACTGCAGAAGGCGCCAATACTTACGAACGTCTAATTTTCTCTGTGGCTCGGTTCTTATTTCCTGCGTAGGGAAGCCCAAACGAGACAATTATATATGAAGAAAATGTTGATTTTCGATTTTTCCATCAAGTTGGAGTTTCGACTGTGGAGAGATTGAACTTCTCAACCACCACGTGCTGAAGTGGTGGCGTGCCCTGGGAGCAGTCACACGTTGGGCCTTGGTGAATCATCTCACTCCAGGTGTAATAGGCGGTGTAGTAGGCAAGTATTCAAGCGCCCAACAATACAACACGGTTTGATGACCAAAGCGCGGTTGCCACCTATGTTTGTACTTGAACAACTCACCAGTACATGTGTAACCGCCTACGCCCGGCTCGCAGTCAAGGCACGAGACGTCGACTCCCTCGCCTGGACATGCTGAACGGAAGTGTCATTTTCGAAACAAGCGACAACTTCAGGAATGATACGTGAGCACCGCACTCTGGACATGATTGGAAATTGTGACGGTGTGATTCCTGGTGTTGCGTGGAACTGCATCACAAGAAAAGCAAAACGACTTGTGTACTCCGCCCCCCAACTCTTTGGCTCTTTGAACGTGCGTTGGTGACGAGGCTTCGTGCAACAGGGCACAGACATTTCATTGTGAAGCACACGACCCATTGATCGGACATGTCAAACACGAGCAGCCGACGCCCGGTGGGCCGCAAGAACTCATCGTTCCCAAAGTGTTGTGGCCGCCTGTTGATGGAGTGACTTTCACCCGCGGCAGGTGTGGGCTTGACCCTACCTGTTGAATACTGACATGTCAAACACGAGCGGCCGACGCCCCCTGGGCCGCAAGAACTCATCGTTCCCAAAGTGTTGTGGCCTGTTGATGGAGTGACTTTCACCCGCGGCAGGTGTGGGCTTGACCCTACCTGTTGAATACTGACATGTCAAACACGAGCGGCCGACGCCCCCTGGGCCGCAAGAACTCATCGTTCCCAAAGTGTTGTGGCCTGTTGATGGAGTGACTTTCACCCGCGGCAGGTGTGGGCTTGACCCTACATGTTGAATACTGACGCACTCACCGCACATTTCCCCTACGCCCTCGGGAGCCAGAAGCGTGACCTCACTGAGCTTCGTCCTGCATAATAACCACGCGGGCTGTGTTGGTATACACGGTTGCTGCTGGGTGTGTGATCGACCGTCTAAAGCGTCGCTGCTGCATGGAGCGGAAATGTGCATGTCTTAACGAAGCCGATTGTGCGCTGGCAGACAAGAGCCCAGAAACTCTTCCGCCGAAGCAGTCGCGACTGTGGAGCTACACGCTCAACTACGGTGAGAAATTCCTCCTCGATCGTAACCACTCCAGACGTTTTTCACGTCATCAAGGGCGTGGAAAACGAAACACCAACAGTAGGTCGGAGGCTTCCGTGTGTGACGTAAAGCAATCTCACCCGGCCATTGATGGTACACATTGGAGATCGTCGTTCCCCCTCAAGTCCCTGCGATAGCGACCAGCCCATCCAAAACCGTTGCAGAAGGCCAGGTGGGAGATATGTTCGTTCGTGTGATGAAGAGGTTTTTCTCTCCGTCGCAAGATTAACGTACAACGCAAAGGGTTGCAGCATCTCTCGACTCTGGTAGGTACCTACAGATTTTCTTCGTCACGACACACGAGCTTCTTGTTCTATACCGTCTGTCGCAGCAGTATTTCATGCGCATCCTTTTCGCTGAAACTGCTCCCGTAGAGCCCTCAAATATTGGCTGAAACCACAGTAAATCTTCCTGTACGTCCTAAGGGGATTCGGGCGGCGAAGCACATGCCAACACACAACTTGACGCGACATGCCCAGGGCCACCTGAAAGCGACAGGTCCAACGCAGGTTGGACCCCGAAACAATATGTCGTCTTACAGGCTCGTAAGCGATCGGAGATCTGCCAGAAGCCCGGCTGAGAGGGTGTCCAAAGCGTTGTTATTCAGGTAGCTGTTTGTTTCGGACGAAGAAGGGGGTACGGGGAAAACGAGTCACGTCAGAGCTGGCTCGTGAGCGCCTCATGACACCTTGAAAAAAGATGCTGCATCCCTCCGGGGCGAAATCGAGGGACCAAGGAGACGATACGTACGCCGCCTTTGCTGCGGTGATGAGCAGGGTTCAACACGACTCGAATACACGACATGGGCCGAGGGTCAAATGATGCTCGCAGTATGGATGACGCCACCAGCTTCCGAGCAAATCACACGGTTTTGCTGACATGTGCACCTGAGAGATATTCGACCAAGTACAGCGCCCGAGAGTTTGATGCACACCTCTAAGAAACCCAAAACCTTTCTGCTGATGTTGGTTCCAAACTGGTGAATTCATGATAGGTGTGAACCTCTATCGTATTCTACCGTTCTCTTAATGTGGGTGTTTGTCCACCGCCGTCGGTGTGTCTCTGTGAACATGTGGAATTTATTGTGTAGTTAGGTGCTCTGCGCTCTTCGCTTGAAATACACTCTCGGTGGTTCTGGGAAGGTCTGCGACGCCGCAAGGATAGGATTTCTGTTGTGGTTTCGGGCGTCTTCGAATTCTGCATACTTGACTGAAAATAAATGCAGATGCTGTACAGTAGCCACTGGCTATCATGTCAAGTCAGTTACTTTCGCCTCTTTGGGACAAATATTTGGGCTCCTTCGCCTGCTCGGGAAACATGGAACCCCGACCTAACATTTTTCAAGAAATCATTTTCACAGTGCCTGCGTTCGGATAGATAGAGCGACCGACGATTGTACGATACACGTGCGAGGTCAGATTGAACCGCAATTGTTAATGTACCGAGCAAACACAGCCTTCCAAGAAAAAAACACATGCATGCACACAGCCAGCAGTCGTCTGCCAGGACTCGAATGTGGCTAGCTCGCTCCAGGGCGACGAATATACAAAAATGTGCTACAGGACTTTTGGGCCGTGTCTCAGCCGAAATGCAAAGGCTCTAGTGTCGCCGAAGAATTATATTCCAGACAGAGGCGACGGCGGCAGCATGTCCTCGATCTCCCCGCTTCCAACGTGGCACAGCTCCTGTCTCGGAACTTCGGTAACCGTGTGTCTCTACACCCCGGGGAACCCAGCGAGCATGGTGCGAAAAATGTATCCGTTACTGTCGTCGATGTTCACTTATCATTCGTACACTATTCATGAGCGAACATCCATTCGCAAACTTACAGGATTTGAAGCTTGTCCAGGCCGTCGAAGATATCAGAAGGGAGAACACTGAGAGCGTTCGAGTCCAGCGTCCTGGTTACGGCGCGGAGGGGGTATCGAAGATGCGTGGAGTGCATGGCTTGGTGCTCAGTTCGGTTGGGTTCGCAGCAGAAGGGCAGGCTGACAGCGGGACGTGTCATTGTAAAAGCACTGGCATTGTCGAAGCCTAAAATAATATACATACACGCCTGGCGGGGAACAATCAAGCATCTAGCGGTTTCCAGCACGGCGCTGACTGCTGCTTCTATCGCCGTGTGGCGCACGCGTAGACACATACTCGAATAATTGAACCAACCAACCATGATGGTGATTGAACGGAGGAGATTTGAAAACAAGGTTTTTGACGCGATCGTTTCAGACGACAACCGAGGAAACAATTGATATTGATCGGAAGAAGTGGAGGCCAATTGCCATTGATGGAGCCATCCTGGACGGGACATACACGCCGTGTATTGCCCTACAACTTACAGAACAATGAGGGCCGTGAGGGTCGCCAGGAACCCCGATGGTAGGGAGCTCAACGTGTTGGAACTCAAGTTCAGAGTAGAAACAGCCTCGAGACCACCGAAATCCTCCGCTGTGACTGCTGATAAAGTGTTGTCATTTAGATACCTGGGGGACCGGAGGGGAAACCGCGCGCGATCAAGGGGTGACAGGACTAGCGCCGAAGCAAAAGATCTCTATCGCGTTCTTCCTGTAGGTACTTGAACCTGTGTGACCACAACCGCGATATCGTGTCGCAAGCTGATATTACCGAGAGCGACAATCAGAGCCGTCGTTGCCACAGAACAATGAAGCACTGCATAGCACAAGACCGCGTTCCGGGGATTTCTTTGGACACGGCTATGAGGCACGTCGCACAATTACCAACCATGAGAAGCGAGTATCAGTGCCGTAGTAGTGCAAGAGCGAGGCGGTGGGATCTATTCACGCTCATCGTTTAGGTTTCCGTGAAAAGACTATTCGCCCTTGGACCAAGTAATGGATGCGCGGACGACATGGGGGACGGTGTTCCCCAAATATCTGCTCTACTCGAGCTCTGGCGTTTGGGCTAGAAGCGAATGGATTTCCTCTGGGAGGGCGTAAATACATGGGCAGGGAGCTGTCGCGGTCTTTTCTGAAAAATAGCCTCGGACAGTGTGTCTTGAAATCGCCGCTCGAGTAAGGCCGTATTACACTGTTTTCTGACGGCTTCAGATTGCGGATGGCCCGCAAGGCTCACTACACGTGAGCCATGTAAGTAGCTGATATCTCACGAACACAACACTTGTTTCGTCTCTCCGGCATGAAACACGATAACTGCTCACAGCGACTTCAGCGAAGCCAGCCCGCTTGAAGTCCCGAAGAGACCCTCAGGTAACGACGTCAGTCGGTTAGAACCAAGGTCCCTGTTGCGTGTTCAGGGCAGGAGGCCAGGCGAGATTAGTGGCATCCAAACGCACACGACATTTCCTCCCGGTAGTCTTTGTTGCAAAACACCATCTCATGTTTGCGCAGATCTCTGTACTCAGTGTTATTTGGTTGTCACCATGCACCATCACAGTGTTTGAGGGCAGTCTCGGTTCAAATTGATCATGAAGTACTCAGCATCGAGCAACTCGTTAGGAGCTAATCTACTGCAGGACCAACCACACACGCACCGTAAAATTCAAACGCTCTTATCGACGCTACGGAACGCCCAAGGCACTCACAGGCTCCAAAGGTGGCTCATCCCATCAAACATTCCGGAAGGTAGAGAGTCCAGCTCGTTGTGCTGGAAGCTCCTAAAGTAGGTATGGAGCAAACGAGAAGAGAAAATAGATTTCATACCGTCATGATCAAATTGGATTCCATGCAGCGTTGACATTGGTTGGTTTTACAGCTACAGTAGTGCGAATGTAGAACCATGTCCGTAGTTGGCGGGTGTGACTGGCTGTAGTGTCCCCTTACAGCCAGATCGCGAAACATGGAAGGAAGTGGCGCATCCGAATCGTTTGTGTGTGCCCCCGTTCATTGCTCTTCAATTCAGGTTGATAAAATACCATCAATGTTCAGACGCAGCGATTATCGACTGGCCGACGATGGTTCTTCTAGGTTCACAAGAATCCTGCAATCGCAATCACAGTCACCATGCCATAGAGACACCGTACCCCAACGAGTACAACCCAGCACTACTTTCATCATCATGGCCTGCATGGAGAACAAGAACTCACAAGAACTCAAGCGCCTCCACGTCCTCGAACAATCCTGATGGTATCGCCGAAAAGCGATTGTTTTCCATGCGTCTGGCAGGAGTAGACACAGCGCCGCGAGCAGGATACCAATTGCAGCATTGATTGTCGTTCGGACTTATCCAAGAGTGAAAGTATTCCAAGTTGGTACTGGATCCAAGCAGATACGTGTGAGTCATTCCCTGGACACTGTTTATCGAGGTTGATGAGAACGCTGGCCACCATAAGAACATGAAACACAAACGCCCAGGTTTTTACAACCACCACCACTTCCACTACCACCACCAAAAGCAAAAGACAGCAAGAAAAACAGCAACGTGAACAGCATCGACAACAACATAGCAGCAGCAACAGCAGCAGCAGCAGCAGCAACAGCAGCAATAGCAAGAGAAGCAACAGCAAGAGCAACGGCAATTGACCGCTTTCTCACAACTCTCGTAGTGCTCCAAAGCCTTTGAGTAGCCCCTCGCCAAGGGTCGTGATCGAGGTGTCCGAGAGTCGTCTGTCGAATATCCGACGGCGAGGAGGGTGGTTGCGTTGTGCCAGGGTGTCATCACCGGAGGGGAACGTTTCGTGGAAAAAGATCTCTGCTACCTAAATCAATGCGCACCTGCCTTGATGTCATCGACGCCGAACTTCACATGACAGCAAATATGATAGGCGAAACGCGAGCACTCCACCATGGTCGACTTGAGAACGCAGAAATCAATCCAGGTCTCCGATACTGTCACAATTCGACGTTCAGCCGCTGGAAAACAGTTCTATAAGTGCCAGCCGACACGTCGGATATTCGGTTGCTTCAAATGCACAGTGGTCTCACGGGAATTCCTTTTTTTCCTATGTAGGTAGTCACCATCCCATGTACCGAGGTCGGACTGGACTAAGTGAAAATAGTGCTCACACTCCATGCGCTCTTACAACTCTGCGATCGTTCCCCTTCCAGCTGCGTCGAAGCACGACCCAAGATCGTCCATGTCTTCGTCGGCCAAACCGCACCCGACGAACGAGCTGACCACGAACGATGGAGAGGATGGAAGGAATACTTTCAATTGTGTCCGTCTCTAGAACTTGGGGCCTGCTGCATACTTCTTACCGCACATGCAACAGACACGGAGTACGAGACGGCTAGACACGCGATCCTGGTGCTTGCCAACACCACCGATGCTAGACTGATTGGTCAGGCTGTACACAAGATACATCAAAGGGCCATCTCTTTGCGGATTTTTTTTCCCCCACACAACACCATTTTATTGAACGCGGGAATAGGATTTCCGACCCACGAAATTCTGACAACGGCCCCCGTCGCCTTGGCACAGGGATTCCAAGGGAATGTGAGCTGACAAGAGCACGCCGATTCTCAAGGCGCTCCTTACACTCCGTTCTCCAAGATATATTTAGCAGTATTCCTCTATCCCCCAACGCTTGGGTTGATGAGGACAGGCGAGAAGGTTCTCCTCTTATCACCAATTGGCGTCAAATGCAGTGTTCTTCTCAAACCCTGTACGACACTTCCATACATAGCTGCTCACATGACGGATTGGCTCGTCAAACAATGTACTGTATGCAGGACGTCCGTTCTACGACATTGTTGGTTCCAACGTTATTATGATTGCGACGGGGGAGGGTGAAGCTGCCTCAACTTTGGACGTGGCTTCTGCAATACACTCTAGCCAGAACGTTTCTTCGCCGGGTCGGGGACTGTCTAGATTTCATCGCATTTCCCGTAGAGGACGAATGACCACGGCCTTACTTTTGTCATCAGGAGCATGTTCATGTACGCACGGCGCTGCCCTTGCACTTCAGTGAACACCGGAAATAATCAACGCTTGTGAATGACGTTGGAGGGCGCGTCCGTGTTGACCAACCGACACGGTGGTTGACTAGTGTAAAGGGTCTGCAGCCTTTTGCCCCATCATATTGGAAAAAAATGGAACAGAGCCCCCATCAGAGAAATAAGCATTGTCATTTTGTACGGTTGTGGAACACAAGACCTAACCACAGCATAAACACAGAGGATTGCTCGTCGAACCAACTCGCTGCGAGGCAGTGGCAAAGCTTCAAATACGATGTGTAGTAACTGCTACGTGTCTCGTTCCTAATAAATACGCGATTTTCTTCGTCGAGGCATGTGCTCAAGCCTCATGTGATACCGTTGCAACGGTACCATGGGGTGTTCATTGTGTGGGAAAAAATAAACGTTTGGAGTTCCTGGCAGAAGGCTTGGGATCGGTTTGCACTTGCTAGGTTCGTGTCCGTGTGCCAACTCCACCGTACCACCGACAAGCTGGATACAGAGATTGGTCGACGATTCGTTGACCCTGCACTCCAGCGTTTCCATGCGTTTCTAAAGGCATGCTATTAATGAAGGCGCCTAGCCTCCTATCATCTGTTGAAACAAATGAAAATTTGAGCAACTCTTACGTACTGAAGAGGCTCTATTCCTCCAAACCCGCATTACGGAGCTCACATTGCAGCTGCACCTGCCTGGCATCTGCTATCCGTCGATTTCAAACACTCGTTTGTACCTGGCGGTTTGGTTGGAACCGCGAGAAGGGCAGAGGGAGAAATAGTATGACAACTATGCGTTTGCCGTTCGGGTTGACTAGCGCACATTGGGACGACGAAAAAGGAACCCCAGAAAAAGCTAACCACGTGCTTCTACACGGGAGAGACCTCAGCTGCCCTGCTCATTGGCTACGTGAGAAAGATATCAAACCTTGGCTACGCTGTGCCTTCAAAACAGTGGTCCCCGCGTTCATTGATTTAGAAAACAGGCTGATCGCCATGGACGACACAGCGAAGAAACAACCAACACGAAAGATTTTGAAAAATACTAAGAGAGTACAAGCAGGAAGAAATATACGGGCTGCGGGAAACGGGGAAAAAATGGAGAATCATGATGTCTTACTGACGGTGCATGTGCGCATGCGGCAGACCACCATGCAACAAGCAGCTAGTTTCAAGTTGTGTTACATCTTGTACGGTAGATGGCACTGCAATACCCCGAGAAACGAAATAGCGAAGACCTCAGCTTGCTCCCCCTTCTCGCGCCATGTTGATCAAGAGCATCGACCACGCCGTAGACTGTGCATAGTTTACTTCGAGGTACTCCGATAGACTAATCGTCTAGTCGTATAGCGAGCTGTATTGGTTCTCCGACCGGGAACCACTTGGCGCCAAGGGCACAGAAGAACGAACCGCACTGCTTCCTATTAAGAATCGATGCGAAGAGGGTCCGCTAACGATAGAGGCGACTGTGCTGCTCGGCAGGCCCCGCTAACCCTACATGCAGTCTTCTCGGCGGAATGAAGGGCAGTTCGCAACTGTCTCAGCGCCACGATGTTGCGCCAACTCAACGTGGTGCACACCTACACTATCCGTCGAACGGAACCCCCCAACACACTCACGCAACGGAAATGGCGTGCAGCACGTTGTACTATATGAATGCGAATCAGCGCACGTGAATTGCCAGTATCCACAAATGGTGCGGTGTCCATCGCTGTACCCAGCGGTCTCTTCGAGCGTGCCACTACGACCTCACGCAGATGGAGCACGTCTATTTCACGACACCAGTATGACCGGCACTCACCGTTCACCGACCCAACCGTCTGCAGTGCTAATATCAGTTTGAGGCACCTCATGATATTCCACAAGACCACCATTTTTAGGACGCTGCCCGTGTCAGCCGCTGCATCTGCTTCTGATATTGGTGTGTCATCATCAGCGGACAACGGATCAGCGGCGGAACTTGTACCGGTTCGGAGCAATGGCCCTGGTTCCGCCCCGTGCGCGTGTGCCGGTTGGGATCCGCAAGTTGGTTGAGAGTTTGTCATCATCTCGGCACTCGGCAGTCGGCACCAACGGCACGGCATGTCGGCACATCGCACGGGGTGCATACATATCTGGCAGAAATTTATTGTTGAATGCCGCAGAGAGTTGAGCGATCTTCCTTGTAGGCGTGCAAGATGCAGGCAGTGGGGACGGGCCCAGGCCCACGACGAATGCGGAAGCGGTGTACGCCTCTACTAGACTATTCTTTTTATCAGGTCATCCTTCGGTAATCGCTTTTCATATTGATGTACAACTCCTCGATGAGGTTTGTCGGCGTTGCGTGTCTGAAGCTTTCCTTTTCTTTCTACGGGAAGCCAGCCGCAACTGCTGACTACGGTAACACTCATTGAGCACGAGACACAGCAAGAACAAAGTGACTGAAGAATGAAGAAGTGCAGACCGCGATGTAGAACACTACAAATGGTGCCGACGATGACAAGGCCAAGAAAATAAATCCGAAGAAAACCTACGATGACAGGATCCTACAAAAATGAATTAAACGCAAAAGACTTGCACGAAAAAACGTCTCAAGTAGTTGTGATGGGCTGACAGGGGGAGACGGCCGGGGCGGAGGGACTCGCGGAGGGAGCGGCAGCATCGGTAGCAGCACCGGCGGCGAGAGTGGTAACCCACGACGGCAGGGTTTTCCCCGCGGCGGCGGCGGCGGCGGGGGAGACGGCCGGGCCGTAAGCACTCGTGGCGGGAGCGGCAGCATCGGCAGCAGCACCGGCTATTCGATATACTCGTAGCATAGCATGCGGGTGGTATATTGCGTATACATATGCGGGTATTGCAGTGACGAACTACGGAGGAACAAGAAGTTTCTTTATGTTTTCCTTGGGAGTTGTTGTTGTCGTTGTTGTTGTTTCTCACATTAGCTCTAAAAAAGAAAGATTGGGAGCCCGTGGTCTCAAAACCCGGCATACACGACCCCACGAAGAAACAGAAAAAAATAGGGTACAAAAACCACTCGGAAGAGAAACAAAATGATAGAAAGAAAGACCAGCTACCGCACCAAACGAGAAAGAGCGTCGAGGAGACCGATCAAAATAAAATAAAAGGAGA